TAGATGTGCAGGTATCTCATGCGAAAGAGTCATTGGAGCTAAACATCCCAGCAAATCGAATCGAATACATGGATTTCCCTCGTACTCTGCTACTCCGAGCAGAATGTAACGAGCACGGAGAGGTGGTGTGAGTTCGAACTGATGCATCGCGTTGTGATTACCGGACGGTGTTTCGAATTCCTAGAATTTTTCGTCAACTAAACAAACATAAAGGTAACCGTAGATTCACCTCCAGAGAGGATCTTCGCCGTGTGCGCTGTGAATTGGTCCAGAGCTGCAGTAGCATACCACTTTCTTAGCCCAAACTGTAAGACCACAAGGCTGGAGTGTAGTGACACCCAGGTTCCGTCTCTCATCCTGGCAGTATGGCAGCATGGGCGAAGTCAAAAGAAGGCTTCCGGTGCTACTAGCCGCTAGCCTTGTTCCCGTGCACTTTCGAGCGGAAAGAGTGGCAGACTACTGGTGTAGCTGCGGACTGATTCATCTCGCACATGGCAAGGAGTGGAATCCTCGAAGTGAAAGTACAATTTGTTTTAATACAGTGCCGCAACAACTCTGTCATTAGAGATTCCCAACCATTACCTGTCCATCAGTATATTCTAAAGATAAATTCATATGAACCATACAATACTCACAACTGGGTAAGTATCGTAGTTCTGGCTGAACTGTGTCTTGTAGAACAGCTGCATTTTTGTCACATGGCCCCTGAGATAGCCGCTACCAGCCACACCAGCCATACGGAGCGTCGTCAATGTATAGATTCTGAACACAACAGATAACATGATAGCAAGGAACGCAATTACCAGTTAGCAAGTGATTATAGCGATTTTTGAACTATTTTTCAACTATCGGAACAAGAAAAAGGCATTGATGCTAACCTTAAGTAAATTTGATGAGAACGAACTGCACGACAGACAGACAGACAGCGGTGGGACAGGAGAGTAAAATAGACAGACAGACGTGACTTATGACAGGCTGGACTAACTGGGGAGACTAGACAGAACTGACAAATAATACAAAGAAGAAGGTCCTAGACAGGTGTTAGAGTGAATGAGCAGCAGTGAGGCAGGAAGGACAGGTTACAGAAAAAGAGAAAGGTATTTGAACAATGAAAATAAAATAACAAGCGATGGACAGGTAATCAAGAAAGAAAGAAAGAAAGACAGACAGACAGACAGACAGACAGATAAACAGACAGACAGACAGACAGGTAGGCAGACAGATAGACAGACAAACAGATATAGGTGAACAAAGACTAAGAGACAGATAGATGACTGCGAAAGCTGAGAGATATGCAGAACAACTGAAAATGAAAAAAAATAGAAAAAAAGGAACTGAGTCTAACACAATATTACAGCCATGAGATCTATTTTTATGAATGAAACGAACTGATAAATGCCTCGAAAAGTACCTCTGTAGATCTACGCTCAAGAAAATGAAAGCGTCTTTGGAGCCACACCAACCAGTTGACGAGAGTCGTGCCTGAAAATAGGGCAGATACGTTTCGAAAGCTATAAGAAATGCATTGAATTCTAGCAATGTCAGTTTAGAATGAATTGCGTATGACCCTGTGGTCCAATCACCGAATTTTTTTGTGTAGTTTTAATACAAAACAAACAATAAACACAATATACAAGAAAAATTAGAATGAAGTGGTTATCCTGTTCACACCGTTCATTTGCCCATCTCCTCTAATACTCGAAAAAGGGTCATATTTGAAGCAATTTCGAAGATCAACTAAGATGAAGCTCGAAAATTTGCAATCTCGACTCTCCATTTTCTGCGCTACTTCCACGTACCTTATGAGGTTCATAGCCCCAGTTGGTGCTGTCCGAATTATCCGCAAAAGCTCCATCTGGAATGAATCCGGACGAGATTCCAACGTCCTCGCTGAGCACACAAGCAGCACCAAGAGCGCACTGGATGGACGCCGACGGGAACGGACGATATCCTGAAAAAATACCAGGAGTAATTATTCAAGGGAGTGGCTAATGTGAGTGTACACAACAGTCCTTTTAACAATAGGAGTAACCAAATGCTATTACCTTTTCTATTGCAAGAGTACTTGGCAACGGCTCCTTCTTCTACACTATTGAGTTCAATGGAACCGTCATCTGGGAATCCTGGATCTACGCAAACTGGTCCTGAAGCTTTACACGCTTAACAAAACTTCCGATTTGAGTATTACACTCCGAGAGTCGAGAACAGAAAGGGTACTGCTAAGTTACAAAGAAATAGAACTTCTGACTACTGAACAAACCTTCACAGCGCAAATCTCCAAGATCCCACGAAGCGTCCACGCCACATCGAACGCTTTTATCGCCAGCTGATGATTTGCCAACCAGTGAGTATGGTGGACGACAAGTGAATGTCAGCGTTGATCCAACCTTGAACGATTTAGAGAAACATTAGATGCCAAATTTTTCTGTAAGAAGTGCAAGGAGGCCATATATTTGAGAAAGACATGGAGGCCCGTGGACATTGGATGTAGGGCCAAAATTTGACTCAGTGTCAGCTTGGGGGGGGGGACCCAAGGTAACTCAAGCTAAGGCTTGAACCGTTATAATGAAGAACTGTAAAATTCTAGCCATCGAGTGGCTCACTCACACCAATTTGGAGGCTCTCCCTTAAGTGAGACCTGTTATTGTCAACATGAATTAACGACAGGAACTGCTGAAAGTGCAAGAGGCCACCTCCGAGCCGAACAGCGTAAAAATTCTGCTCAATGAGTACCCATCGTAAGATGTTTAGGATTACAACTATACCATGGAACTGGGAAATAGAAAAAGCCTCTGAAGTGGATCTTTACTTCTTGAGATGCGGCTCACATCATGTCTTATTCATATTCGTGGTGAGTTTCGAATACGATCGGGTAGATACAGTCACGCGGGATGACCCATGTGCTTCAGTGTATTTATCCTTCCAGACTAGTCGGAAACCAGTTAGTCAAACCCGGAGAAAGGAGGAGCTTGACTGGCCAGAGAGAGTTTATCCGAGATCTAACTTGGACCGTACACGTGTAAGCGGTGCCACTTGACCACCTCCGCTATAAACCTAGCATGATCACCTGGTGTCTAATTGCTTATTTAATCATGAAACCAACCTTGTAGCTGCCATGATCACCCTCGTAAACCGCGCCGGCTAGAACAGGAGGTGGTCCACAGTCGACAAATGGGCAATCAGCTGGTGGACCAGAAAGCCAGTACTCTCGACCGTCTGGTTGCGGATCAAAAACGCACTCACGGAATGACGCCAAGGGTGAAGTTCGTGCTGAAATAATTGGCTACGATAAGTTCAAAAATGCTCTGACCTAGGAAGCATTCATAGTAATAATAGCGAAACTGCACCAACCAGGTCTATTCTGCTGTGTGCAAACTATTGAAACGTTTTGACCATAGGCAATGGTGCTGTTCTCCGGTGACACGAACAAACCAACGGCGGAGTTATTCTTGAGCCCTTGACAGGTAGCTGCTGAAAAAAAACGATAATTTACGACCTTTAACGTTACAATTAATTGCCAAATAAAGTACGGAGCCTAGAATTGGACAGTTAGAACTTTCTCTGAGGAAACTTTGCTTTTTTATTT